GTCGAGTTATAGATCAGGGTGGTCCAAGAATTTTAATCTGATTAATCCCAGGGTAGCAGTGAATTAAGATTAATCACAATCATTCATATTAAATTAGAATCATTTCTTTACAGTTCTGACAAATCATAGTGGAAGTGTCCAGAACCGATTCTTCTTCATGTGTTATTAAGAAATAATATTTTTATTTTTTTTTTATGTTGGTTCAGTGGTATTAATCCCGACCTAAATCCCAGTTCGTCCATTATATACCAGCATTAGTTCAGTCTGGAGCAAAGTTTGATCCGCGTTACCACTGGTACTAAACTTCATTTAATACCAGTGATTCATTTTGTGTTGTTTTTGTTTTTTTTGTGATTCAGTCATTTTTTTAAATAAAAATGCTCCACCAAAAGATATTTACAACAAATATATTAATAAATATTACTATAGTTAAAATCTATGTTTTGGTCTTTTAATGCCAACTGTAATGTTATCTTTTAAAAGAGAAACCCGTTGGTTGTTGTTTTTAGGGGAGTATGCAGCTGTATCACAGTTTAAGGCGGATCTGCAGTATTTACTGTGGCATGTGATATTCTGAGTCAGTGTGTCATTAAATATTCCACTCGTACAGTAGAGACACCAGCAGGCTGTCGTTGACATAAGGCTGTCAATCACCCCTCCAATCAGATGGACTTTTCAAATGTTGAAGATTCAATTATGAATTTTGAATTTATACATTTTTTAAAGGAAAGTATCAGACGATATCGGCATATCAGATATGGACAAAAAGTTAATATCCGACATGCCAATGTTGTGTTGTGTTTTTTCCCTCGTTAGCATTGTTAGCTGTTGTTGACAAATGTAAAGGGTGAGTTCTTCTGTGGTGGAACTGACTGTCGGTTCGGTTCTTCTGCGGTGGTACTGACTCTCGGTGTTCTTCTGTGCAGTCTGAGGGAGCAGCTGGCCGATCTGTACCAGACCATTCACTCCAGCGCCAACGTGTCTCTGCTGCAGGAGTACGAGAAAACCATCTACGCTCTCATCAACCACAGCCTGGACTACAGACTGGAGTGTGAGCAGCTGGAGACCAGTCTGAAAAGGTACTGCACCTTTAGGGGGTAGCGCAGGACAGTCATATATTTTTGGATTTTTTAAATTATTTTTTGAATATTTTTTGCATGTATTTGAAGTAAACTAAATGAAAGTGTGATGCAGTTTTGTAGGTCCTTGGAGATGGAGATTAAAAGTTCATTTAGCAGATATATCTATAAATGAATCCACCTAGTGGTCATGGTGACACCTGCGTCTCATACCTATGACCTTACGCTTCGGAAACTTGTGAAACTAGAACATTCCTCATTCAAGGAAGTAGGAATTGTAAAGAGAGAGAGTGCTACACTCCTGTTCTTGTTTTTCTTTTTTCAAGCCTGGTGTTCATTCCACACACTTTGTTTTTTCTTGAAGAAGATTTTTTTTTTTTTTTTTAACAACCATAAATTAGGTAGAAAATTCTGAGATCCAATCTGTGTTTTTTTTTAAATTTTTTTTACCCTCTCTGTCTGTGTTGGTGCTCCAGGACTGATTGTGCTTTATTGTTGAAACAGAGCTGAGGAAATGAACAGCAGTCACCTGGCAGAGCTGGAGGACGACATCCAGAAACAGCTGGTCAGAACTGAGGGCAGGGTGAGAGAAGAGGTGAGTCCTGAAGAGGGCGCTGCCTTCTTTTTTGTGGCCTTTTCTACACCTTTCTTTGTGAGATTTTTTTTACTGCGGTGCCTCAGGTTTCTCTTCACAAACGGTGCTTTTGTAGACGGTGATGGTTGAACCCCGGCTCAGCCCCTCACTGCTGTGGTGTCATGTTTACAGGAGAGAAGGAAGATGGAAGACGTCGTGGCCTCGATGCAGAGGAAACACAGGAATGAAGTGTCAGAGCTGCAGGCCACAGTGGACAGACTGGTCAAGGTGGCGCTCTCACACAGTGTTTGTTTGGTTTATGATGTTGATATAATAATGACATCCACAACAGATGAAGTCGTTTGAACTGTTGACAGAAGAACAGACTAATAAGACATGGGACAGTTTGGAACTTATTTTTAGCTGAATGTTTGGCTAACAATTGCTCAGGTCGTGTGCTACAAATAGAGCCATTTGTTCTGTTTTGAGTTTGAGTGTTTTTTAGCATTTACTTTTTTTTCTGCTAACATTTAGCACCTTTAACATTTGAGATAATGTTGGAATAATTCTCAATAATTTTAGCATTTTTTTTCTTATATTTGGTTTTGGTTTATATACAGTATATATATGTATGCACTGTATATATATATATATATATATACACTGTATATACGTATGTGTGTATGTGTATATATTTATACACATATTTACATATGTATATATATATATATATACATATATGCATGCATAGAGACGGTATACACAATGTGTATAAATATATTTTCAATTTTAATACTTTTAAATAATAGTTTCTGTTATTCGATTCTAAGCCTCTAACTAATATAAAATGACCGTATGAACCCTGTTCTGTTCTGACATGTTGTTTAGAGTCAGAAGGAATCGGAATATATGGAGTCGAGGGAGGAGGTGATGAGACTGAGCCGACAGATCAGTCATCTCTCACTGGTGAGTCAAGTTCTCATCAACAGTTTGTGAGTTTGTGTGTGTCAGTTGATAGTCAGTGTTTATTTCTGCTGACAGGAGAACGAGCAGCTCCGTTCGTCTCTGCTCCAGGCTCACACTGACATGGCCGTCCTCCACTCAGAGCTGGACAAACTGAAGAACATGTACGCAGACCAGAAGGCCCAGCATGAACGGTGAGGAACGGCCTTTAATCTCAGGGATTCTCTTTTGAAATTCACGCTGTGTCAATTTTTTATTTTCATGTGTTTTTTTTTTTGTTTTTTTTTTCCCCAGGGAAACCGAACATTTGAAGATGATGGTGATGGAATATCAGTCGTACTCCAGTCAGATCCAGACTCTACAGTAAGTCTCTCTGTCAGACTAACCCTAACCCTGCAGACAGGAAGTAACATCATAACTGTGACCTTAGTTTAGAAAATATGGGTAATTTTTTATCTTTATCACGAGAGTATGGAATTTACAGAAAGATAATTTAAATACAATAATCATTCAAATTAATTCAAAATCACATTAAAGGAGCTGTACACATTTTCTGGCTCTCTGAAATCTGCTACAGAATAGCTAGAGTACATAGATGCACCACCAGGAGGCAGTAAAAACAATCTGGAAACTGCAGCTCTTCAGTCTTTAAAATGAAACCCTTTTTTCTTAGAGAAAACCAAAAAAGTCTCCACAATATTGATTAATATTTGTATAACTTTTAACTAAAATTCATTAATGTGTTCAAACTTTACATTACCCTTTTTTTTTCTTTGCATCTTGAACATCAAACACTGAAGTCCTTAAATTGTAAATCAAATCATTTTTAAGAAACACATTTTTTCAGAAACAGAAAACTTTGATTCATTTCTTCAGGGAAACAAACAGAGTTCTCTACGACAGTAATG